CGCTCTCCGTCCCGCTCGGCCTCGCCCCGCGCCTACGTCGGGGGAGCCCTCGTCGGCGCCGAGCCGGGAGGCGCTGAGATGTTGGGCAGCCCGCGCCGTGCGGCCGTGTCGCAGGGGCAACGGGCTGCTGGCCACGGCGCGGCGGCCCCAGGCGAGCTGCGCGTGTCGTTCGCCCGAGGACGGCCGGCCCCGGCACGGGTCGTCGAGAGCATGCCGCCGGGCTCGCGCGTTGCCGTCGGCGGACCGCCCGCGTTTGTGGACGCACTGGCGGCGGCGCTCAAGCTGCAGGGGAGAGACCCGCCAACGAGGCTCACACAGTCCATGTGACGTTGTGAGCCGGCGACTGCCGATCGCCACGCCAAGATGCTTGGCTCACCCAAGACACACCGCATGTGCACATATGTCCAAACATTCGAGATTCGTACAGTGTTCTCTACGGCTCTACGTACCTGGGTGTGTGTCCTCTACGGCTTTAGCCTAGAGAGCTCCGCTCTTCGCTGTTGATGTGGAAAAAACTCGCAAGCTCGCCGTCGCGGGACCAATCGCCCGTTGTTCATGTGCTCAACCTGTGTGTCCTGTCCGCTCGAGACTGCTCAAAAGCTGTGCTCGCAAAATACGTCAATACTGACTAGTCAACACAAATCACAAACAAGCGAGGCCGCGTGTGGTACTCCTGTGCTGCTCCTGTGACTACTCCACTCCTGTGCACGTGTGTGCTGTGTGCTCTTTGTGTGTGTGGACAATGATCAACATGTCAGCTGACAAAGCAACTGTGTTCACTTCGTCTTCCCGCTGCCTGGCTTGAGCTTCTTGAGGATCTGCTCAAAGACAGCATTGTCGATGACCTCGAGCACCTCTCGGGCAACCTCGACGCGGTGGCGGACGTGCTTGATTGCTTTGCCGGGAGTCCACCCCGCGTATAGGATGAAATAGGCCGCGCAGATGGAGGCGCTGCGGTTCTGGCCGGCGTAGCAGTGGACCAAAACGCGCTTGCGCTTGCGAATGGCTGCATCTACTAGCTTTGCTCCGCGGATGATGCAGCGCCTTGCGGTGATCTTGTCCTCCTCGCTCTCTCCGCCCTGCTCGTCCTCAAAGAAGACCTCTTCGTCGGTGAGAGCAGAGCCTCCGTCTGTGCTGCTTGGCGTGACTGTGCTCAGCACATAGGGCGTCTTGTGCTGTGCTCGGCACATAGTGCGGAAGCGCTTTGGCGCCTTGCGGTTGCCCACATACAGAGGTGCCGGCTGCGACTTTGTCTTGAGGTTGGCGTACGGGCTCGGAGCTCCCGCAGCCGTCTCTGGCGAGTCCCAGGCTTCCCACGGCTGACTCTCCCAGCGGCGCTGCGCCGCCTTGCGTGACAGCCTGTGCGATTTCTGGATCGGCTGCTGGACCATCTCGGTGCGGACGCGTCCGCTCGAGCGCTTTTGAAGAAAGAAAATATCTGCGCTGCCTCTTCCTATCGCTTCACGAACTTCCCTGGTATTCCTCGGCCTGCGGGTGTGAACATTCCGTGCGAGCACAACATTCTTCACAACGGCACCATGTATGCGGCGGCCAACATGGTCCGTGCACGAGAGCCTGCGGCAAGCTCGTGCTCGGTGACAAGGCGAACCCTCAGACGACTTTTCATCTCAACGAGGGGCACGTCACCGACATGTGTGAGATCGGCGGAGACCTGCAGTCCCAGCGCGATGTCCACTACGAAGTCAAGGTGCCTAGCGCCCCCCCCAAAATTGAAAAATATTTCAGAAAAACTATTTGAGAACTTGAGCACGGTAGTCGGTACGCGATGATCCGCTAAATAAAGTTGGTCCACGTTGGCGTGCTCCGATGTCCGGAGCCGGTCGCGCGGCGCCGACGGCAGTCCTGGGCGCCCAAAGTGCGAGAGAGAGAGACGAGCCCCGACCGAGACCGAACCGTCCACGAAGCGCCCGTCGCGCGAGCACATTTGCCAAAAAACAATGCGGACGGGGACCGGGACGGTCGAGGCTGTCAAGGGCCAGTACACGGACGCAGAGGGGAAGTGCCGCGTGGAGGCGCTGCTCTTCGAGGAGTTCGGCGCAATGAGCGCGGGGGTGGAGGAGCTGCTGATGCGGGTGGCTAAGGTGGCGGGCCGGAAGCTCACGTGGTGGCAGTACGACCAGACGTCGTGGTCGGCGCGCGAATGGATGCCGTTTGCGCTGCAGCGACTGTCGGTGCAGCTCTGGACGGCGCTCACGGACGAGGCACAGCGCGCCATTGGTGCGGCGTCGCGCGACCGCGAGGGACCGCGGGGGGGGGGGGCTAGCGGGATGGGGGGTTCTACGGGGAAGGGAGCGGGGGGCGCCCAGTAGGGCGCCGGCGCCCCAGCGTAGAGGGCCTCGTGTAGCCCTCCTTTTGGTATATATAAAAAAAAACAATACACTCCGGCGCCTTCGCGGGGCTCTGCCCCGCACCCCGCCAGGGCTCCCGCCCTGGACCCCATCGCCCCCCCGCATGGTACCCACCCATGCTCGAGCACTCGCGGGCCTCATAGAGATCTTGGATGAAAGGGCATGCGCCTGCTTCGAGCAGCAGCCGCACGATGCGAACACGCTCGCGTTGGCTGCCCGCGAAAGCTGGGCTAACAGCATGGTGCAGTGCGGTGAAGCCATGGTAATCCTGCAGATCGACCGCTGCCCCGCGCTGCAAAAGCAGTTCCAGTGTGCTCTCACGTCCACACAGGCTAGCTGCTTGGAGCAGGGAGGTGCTAGTGCCCTGCGATCCTTTGAGCTTGCGCTGTCCCAGGCCACGTTTGCACGTTTTGTCGTCCGTGTGAATGTCGGAGTTCTCGCATCCACGTGCCCTCCGCTGTCGAGCCAATTCGAAACTATAGTCTCTACTTCGGCGTCGCTGCAGGCGAACTTTCCGACACCGCGGCGCTTCAGAAAGAACGACGTTGCTAGAGCGTCAGGAAGTATGATATTCGCTGGATCAGTAGCCCGTGGAGCCTCACGCCAATCCGCCATTTCGAGAGCTCCACGCCGCTCCACTGGGCACGGACGGAAGTCGAGAAGTTCGCGCGCGCGCGCCGCGCCGAGCGAATTGTTTTTTATGGAACAACGCAAGGCGGACATACACATGACGCATCGCTCTCGGGCCCACAGACACCCCGCACACCCGCCGCCCCATGTGCGGCGGCAGCGTCTCCATCTCTAGACGAAGCTGCCAACAGCATCAGCAATGGACCCTCGCAAAGAAAGAATTTAAACAAAACAACTCTCTCTCACAGCACACAGGCTCGACACAGGTGCGAACTGGCGCGTGCTAGTACTATCACAGGCACACCACCGGAGCCGCCTAAGCGACTCCGTTAAGAACGGCAATGCACTTAGCTCCGTGCACAATGCCGCTGTCCCCGCACGCTAGCTCGTTCACCGTCTGCCACGCCACGGCGGTGAGGAGAACGACAGACAAGCGCTGCATCTGCAGCCCGTGCCAGTTCTTGGTGGTCCATGTGACCTCATCGAGGTGCTGAGCGTGCGAAAGTTTGTTACTCAGCTGGTCCGCCGCCTGCCGAAGAATTTTGCGGACGCCGTCCCTGAAGCCGCCGAACGTCTCGAAGTCGAGCAAACGCAGGTCGCAATTCTTCTCCCGCGCGAACCGGTAGTCGCCCTTCTCGTAGCGGGCCGTCACAGGTGCCCCCGCCTCCGCCTCCCCCTCACTCTCCCCCTCCTCCTCTTCCGCCGCCGCCGCCTCCGCCTCTGCATCCTCCGCCTCCCTCCCCCCCTCCCCCCCCCCTCCGGCCGCGGCCATGCAGCATGCCCTAACACTAAGTCGAGCAGCGCCCGCTCGGTGTTGCCGAAGGCGACAAAAGCCCCCTTCCAGCCGAGCCGATCGCCACCCTTGCACGCAAGCGAGCTCGTGAGTTTCAAGTCGCCAACGAGGCGCACATGCCCTTTGCCGATGTTCGCCGCCGCCACGTCAGGTTGTTTTGGGTTACTGTAACTGAGGTGTGCAGTCGGCTCCATCTCGATGAGCATGCCCCACGCCGAGCGAAGGGTCTTGACGAGTCGTTTGAGCAGGTATTTGTGTCGTGTCGCGGGCTTCGAAGAATTTCACGTATGGCATTTTCAACGAAATCGAATTGCGCGGAGTGTCTGGGTTTGAGGACGACAGGAGGGAGAACGACGAGAGTGGGATGACCGCGAGGTGGCATGAAGGTTGCAGCGAGAATCGGCGAGGGACGGAGGGAAGACTGCGAAGGGAGATATTAGAAAGAGGCAGACGACCAAGGGTTAGGGTGGGCGACGGCTAGCACCACACTCCTCTCCTTAAAATCCCTGTGTGGTGGCGGCGTGCTGTCCTCCCATCCCTCCCTTGGGTTGTCTGTTTTCTTTCTTTCTTTTTCGAGGAGTCATGCAGCGGCACAAGTCGAGCTGTGAACACGCGGTGTGAACGAGCTCGGCAGGGAGATTGTCTCATCTCTTGAGCGAGAGATTAGCATCTCGCTATAGTGCCATGCAGCGGCACAAGTCGAGCTGTGAACACGCGGTGTGAACGAGCTCGGCGGGGAGATTGTCTCATCTCTTGAGCGAGAGATTAGCATCTCGCTATAGTGCCATGCAGCGGCACAAGTCGAGCTGTGAACACGCGGTGTGAACGAGCTCGGCGGGGAGATTGTCTCATCTCTTGAGCGAGAGATTAGCATCTCGCTATAGTGCCATGCAGCGGCACAAGTCGAGCTGTGAACACGCGGTGTGAACGAGCTCGGCGGGGAGATTGTCTCATCTCTTGAGCGAGAGATTAGCATCTCGCTATAGTGCCATGCAGCGGCACAAGTCGAGCTGTGAACACGCGGTGTGAACGAGCTCGGCGGGGAGATTGTCTCATCTCTTGAGCGAGAGATTAGCATCTCGCTATAGTGCCATGCAGCGGCACAAGTCGAGCTGTGAACACGCGGTGTGAACGAGCTCGGCGGGGAGATTGTCTCATCTCTTGACTGAGCGAGAGATTAGCATCTCGCTATAGTGCCATGCAGCGGCACAAGTCGAGCTGTGAACACGCGGTGTGAACGAGCTCGGCGGGGAGATTGTCTCATCTCTTGAGCGAGAGATTAGCATCTCGCTATAGTGCCATGCAGCGGCACAAGTCGAGCTGTGAACACGCGGTGTGAACGAGCTCGGCAGGGAGATTGTCTCATCTCTTGAGCGAGAGATTAGCATCTCGCTATAGTGCCATGCAGCGGCACAAGTCGAGCTGTGAACACGCGGTGTGAAAGAGCTCGGCAGGGAGATTGTCTCATCTCTTGAGCGAGAGATTAGCATCTCGCTATAGTGCCATGCAGCGGCACAAGTCGAGCTGTGAACACGCGGTGTGAACGAGCTCGGCAGGGAGATTGTCTCATCTCTTGAGCGAGAGATTAGCATCTCGCTATAGTGCCATGCAGCGGCACAAGTCGAGCTGTGAACACGCGGTGTGAACGAGCTCGGCAGGGAGATTGTCTCATCTCTTGAGCGAGAGATTAGCATCTCGCTATAGTGCCATGCAGCGGCACAAGTCGAGCTGTGAACACGCGGTGTGAACGAGCTCGGCGGGGAGATTGTCTCATCTCTTGAGCGAGAGATTAGCATCTCGCTATAGTGCCATGCAGCGGCACAAGTCGAGCTGTGAACACGCGGTGTGAACGAGCTCGGCAGGGAGATTGTCTCATCTCTTGAGCGAGAGATTAGCATCTCGCTATAGTGCCATGCAGCGGCACAAGTCGAGCTGTGAACACGCGGTGTGAACGAGCTCGGCAGGGAGATTGTCTCATCTCTTGACTGAGCGAGAGATTAGCATCTCGCTATAGTGCCATGCAGCGGCACAAGTCGAGCTGTGAACACGCGGTGTGAACGAGCTCGGCAGGGAGATTGTCTCATCTCTTGCCTGAGCGAGAGATTAGCATCTCGCTATAGTGCCATGCAGCGGCACAAGTCGAGCTGTGAACACGCGGTGTGAACGAGCTCGGCAGGGAGATTGTCTCATCTCTTGAACGAGAGATTAGCATCTCGCTATAGTGCCATGCAGCGGCACAAGTCGAGCTGTGAACACGCGGTGTGAACGAGCTCGGCAGGGAGATTGTCTCATCTCTTGAGCGAGAGATTAGCATCTCGCTATAGTGCCATGCAGCGGCACAAGTCGAGCTGTGAACACGCGGTGTGAACGAGCTCGGCGGGGAGATTGTCTCATCTCTTGAGCGAGAGATTAGCATCTCGCTATAGTGCCATGCAGCGGCACAAGTCGAGCTGTGAACACGCGGTGTGAACGAGCTCGGCGGGGAGATTGTCTCATCTCTTGACTGAGCGAGAGATTAGCATCTCGCTATAGTGCCATGCAACGGCACAAGTCGAGCTGTGAACACGCGGTGTGAACGAGCTCGGCAGGGAGATTGTCTCATCTCTTGACTGAGCGAGAGATAAGCATCTCGCTATAGCGCCATGCAGCGGCACAAGTCGAGCTGTGAACACGCGGTGTGAACGAGCTCGGCGGGGAGATTGTCTCATCTCTTGAGCGAGAGATTAGCATCTCGCTATAGTGCCATGCAGCGGCACAAGTCGAGCTGTGAACGCGCGGTGTGAACGAGCTCGGCGGGGAGATTGTCTCATCTCTTGAGCGAGAGATTAGCATCTCGCTATAGTGCCATGCAGCGGCACAAGTCGAGCTGTGAACACGCGGTGTGAACGAGCTCGGCAGGGAGATTGTCTCATCTCTTGAGCGAGAGATTAGCATCTCGCTATAGTGCCATGCAGCGGCACAAGTCGAGCTGTGAACACGCGGTGTGAACGAGCTCGGCAGGGAGATTGTCTCATCTCTTGACTGAGCGAGAGATTAGCATCTCGCTATAGTGCCATGCAACGGCACAAGTCGAGCTGTGAACACGCGGTGTGAACGAGCTCGGCGGGGAGATTGTCTCATCTCTTGAGCGAGAGATTAGCATCTCGCTATAGTGCCATGCAGCGGCACAAGTCGAGCTGTGAACACGCGGTGTGAACGAGCTCGGCGGGGAGATTGTCTCATCTCTTGACTGAGCGAGAGATTAGCATCTCGCTATAGTGCCATGCAACGGCACAAGTCGAGCTGTGAACACGCGGTGTGAACGAGCTCGGCAGGGAGATTGTCTCACCTCTTGACTGAGCGAGAGATTAGCATCTCGCTATAGTGCCATGCAACGGCACAAGTCGAGCTGTGAACACGCGGTGTGAACGAGCTCGGCAGGGAGATTGTCTCACCTCTTGACTGAGCGAGAGATTAGCATCTCGCTATAGTGCCATGCAGCGGCACAAGTCGAGCTGTGAACACGCGGTGTGAACGAGCTCGGCGGGGAGATTGTCTCATCTCTTGAGCGAGAGATTAGCATCTCGCTATAGTGCCATGCAGCGGCACAAGTCGAGCTGTGAACACGCGGTGTGAACGAGCTCGGCGGGGAGATTGTCTCATCTCTTGAGCGAGAGATTAGCATCTCGCTATAGTGCCATGCAGCGGCACAAGTCGAGCTGTGAACACGCGGTGTGCACGAGCTCGGCGGGGAGATTGTCTCATCTCTTGAGCGAGAGATTAGCATCTCGCTATAGTGCCATGCAGCGGCACAAGTCGAGCTGTGAACACGCGGTGTGAACGAGCTCGGCAGGGAGATTGTCTCATCTCTTGAGCGAGAGATTGGCATCTCGCTATAGCCATGCAGCGGCACAAGTCGAGCTGTGCGCGCAATGGCTCTCAGCCGCCGCCCGCAACGGGCCGGGTGTGTCGCACTTGCCGCTCGGCAGCGGTGGCTAACGCAGTTAGACCGTGCATCATACACACGGTGTCACACGCTTTTACACCCGCAACGGGCACACAGCCGTGTATTGGACTTGCCGCTCGGCAGCGGTGGCAGACGCCGCTGGCCCATGTATCACTCACATGGTGTTACACACAACATGTACATGTAACATGTATCAGTCCCATGGTGTCACACGTACTGCCACCCGCCACGGGCGCAGTCGTGTCGCACACGCCATCCGCAGCGGAGGCTAGCGCCTCTAACCATGTATCAGTCACATGGTGAGATCGCATCGTGCTCGCAATTCGGCAGATCGCTGAGGCAACGAGGTCGCGCGGGCTGGCGGGGCTGGGGCGCGGGCGATCGGGCTCTTCGCGGCGTGGGCCGGCTGCAGGCAGCGCGCCGGCTATGCATGCTAGGCCCCGAAGGGGCCTGCCCAACCACCTACGGTTCGCAGGGTGTGGCGGGAGGGGCGAATCGTGCAGTGTGAGCGAGCGAGCAAACGCAGCGGGGCAGCGTGCATCGCTCGCGAGCAAGGAGATCGGCGATCGACTTTGTGAAAGCCGAGCACGTGAGGCGCCGTCACAGCTGTCGCTGTGAATGGCTTATCGGATGGCTACCTGCGAGCGGGCTGCAGGTGGCCGGGAGGTGGGAACCAAGGCCGTCGCGATCGACAGGCCTACTCGTACAATACGGGCTCCGCTCCACACCGACCAAACCTCTCGGAGCTAATATTGTTCTCCCTGGCGTGCGCGAGTCGCTCGTCCTAGGGAGCGAACTAGTGCGAGTCACTAGTGTACTCGAATGCAAGCGAAGGGTAGCTCTCGTCTGCTGCTGCTGCTGCTGCTGTTGCTCTCGCTACTGCTGTTGCTATTGAAGCTGCTGTCTAGTCGCTACGCAATTGTCGCTGTCTGTTAGCTACGGTTGCTGTGCTAACGTGCGCATCGTGTTCACGCACACCGCACCACTTTCCGCCCGGAAGGATAGGAGTGGTGCATTCGGGTGCGCATCGTGTTCACGCACGTGTGTGTGCTACCGCAGAGTGGCCTGGAGGCGACAGATTGCTTCGTAGAAGCGCTCCTATGCCTTATCCCCGGGAGGTGTCGCAGCGTGCGAGCGGTCGTCGTCGCTCCGAGCTGGCCAAGCGTATTGGCGGGTCGCCTCACGCTTGACCTGCTGGAGTACCGCAATGACCTGAAGCAACTACTAACGTGTGAACGTCGGCAGTTCGCACGCTGCGCAATGTCCTGAAACCTACACGAGGCCATCCCTGGCGCAAGCGCATCGCTCTGCGGTTGCGGCGGGCGGCGGCGGCGGCGGCGGTTGAGGCGGCGGCGGCGGGGGGGGGGGGGGGGGGCCCCCCTCGGGTTTTCCCTCGAACCCTTTCCAGGGGAAATGCGCGGGGGCGTCTTTCCGGAGGGGGTTTTCCCCTAGGCTAGGAGGAGGAGCAGACTCCCTCCCGTGTGGCGAAGCCGCGGCGGCTGCGGCGGCGGGCGGAGTGGGTAGTGCGACCGCAGCCATCTCCTGGCGAGGGCAAGCATCGCAGCCATCTCCCTCGCGGCCGCGCGGCGAGGGCGGCGCTGCCCCGCCATCGAGCGCGCCCTGCCTCCCTCGGGGAGCGCGTGTTCCGCCTAGAGCTGGTGGACGGGAAGAGCGGGTGTTCCGTCCGCCGCACGGCGGCTGCAGCGCGTCTCGCCTAAGGCTGTACTCGCAGAGAGGGAGAGAGATTCTCGTGCGCTGCTCGGCGACTGCGGCGGCGGCGGCGGCGGCGGGCAGCGAGATCACGCGGCGGCGCTGCGAGAGGAGATGGCTGTGTGGCCTCCTCTGACTGCGCCACGCGGCCCGCCGGGAGGAGCGGCTTGAGCTGCAGCACACAGTAGGCGAGCGCGTGTGGTCCGTGCGCTGCTCGTCGGTGCGGGCAGCGCTGACGCCCTCGCCGCATCGCGCGCGCGGCGGCCGGGCGGCTGCGTGGCGCCGCGGCCTTCGTCAGCGCCAGACCTGGTCCTCCAGCAGCAAGGTGCACAGTGACTGTGCCACCAACAAACGCACAGCACCGCGGCGGTGCCAGGAAGAGCCTCCGCGCGCAGCAGCCGAGCTGCCGCCGGGCGGAGGAGGCGCGCGGCGCGAGGCGCGGCGCGCGCGGCGCAGGAGTACCTGCGAATCGTGCAGTGTGAGCGAGCGAGCAAACGCAGCGGGGCAGCGTGCATCGCTCGCGAGCAAGGAGATCGGCGATCGACTTTGTGAAAGCCGAGCACGTGAGGCGCCGTCACAGCTGTCGCTGTGAATGGCTTATCGGATGGCTACCTGCGAGCGGGCTGCAGGTGGCCGGGAGGTGGGAACCAAGGCCGTCGCGATCGACAGGCCTACTCGTACAATACGGGCTCCGCTCCACACCGACCAAACCTCTCGGAGCTAACACTGGCCAGTGTGCTCCTCGCTCGCTCCCCGCTCGGCTCGGTGAGCTGTCGCCCACCAGCGCGCGGCGACCGCGCGCACACCACCAGCGCGCGGCGACCGCGCACACCGCGCCCGCCGGCTCTCCGCCCTCCTCACCACCCGTCGGCGCTGTCCGCAGGCATGTGAGGCGGAACGGCGACCGCGCAGCGCGCGCGGGTGTGGAGAACGTGATCATCTGCTGCCGACGCGATCGACCGCCGGGCTTCGGCCCCTCGCCGGCGCAGCGCCGGCGAGGTCCTGGGTCATCCCCGGGCGGCGGTCCGGGCGGCAGCAGATCTCTGCGCCGCCCGCATCCTGTTCGTGATCAGGGCGTGCGCAGTTTGAAATTGCAAGTTCCGAGCGCGCGCCCGCGCCCGCCGCGCCCCGCACGCAGCCACATCCTGCGTTCTGCGGCGGCAGCGGCCTTATCTCTCTCTCTCCCTGCTCTCCCAAGCCGTGCGCACCGTCGCCGCGCGCGCGCGCCGCCGCAAGCTGCCGGGCTGACGCTCGTCCCCGTGCCCCTGTTGCGCAGGCAACACCCGCGCTCGTGCGGACCGCACGACCAGCTTCCTGCTCGCGCCGCCCTCGCTGTGGCCCGGCGTCTCCGCCGGCGGCTGGTGCGTCAAGGTGATGAAGAGCACCACCAAGCCTGACGTCACCACGGTCAAGTTCAACGACTCCACGGTGACCTTCTCGTTCGCCGTGGTTGCCTCATGGAAGCCCGTCTCCTAGAGAGTCGGCGCCATCGCTCTTGCCGCGCCGCGCGTAGTGCGCGTCGCGTGGGTACCGCACTATTAGGGCACTATTAGGGCACTATTAGGCTCTCATAGTGCCCTAATAGCGCCCTAATAGTCGCTATTAGCCCTTCTCATAGTGGTGTTCTCATAGCTCCAGACGTTATGAAGCTCAGCTATTAGCTCCTCTGAGCTAATAGTAGCACTATTTGAAATCGCTATTAGCAAGTTCCTCATTATGAGGCTAATAGTTTGACCAGTGTATAATCGATATGCTTCTCGACGACGCGGCGCCATCTGTGCATGTGCACGCTCTTGGGGCCGCTGATGCCGACACGCCTCGCATGGATCAGCTTGTGGCCTCTGGTGTCAAGCTATCATCCTATTACGTGACGTCCTCCATTTGCACTCCCAGTAGGTACTCGCACCTGACAGGCCGCTACGCGGGTCGCAACCTCCGAAACCGCCGCAACACGCCACTCGACGAGCCGGTTAGGGTAGATTTTTTGGCGAAGTTTCAAGAGCAAGCTGATGGTCGCGAGCTCACGATATGCCACGAGCTTGATGCCATCGGCTATCAGACCGGCTACTTTGGCAAGTACCACAACCTTTTTAGCATCTCGCCATGGTTACAAGTGGTCGACCTCAACGAAGATTTTGTGCCCGACAGGGACATCGATGTCAACTCTGCCGCCGGTCGCGCGCAGCTCGCTGCCAAAAACGAATGGCTGCGAGCGGTGGTACTCAACGCAACAGGCTGTGGTGTGGCAGACCGGCTCTACGACGGCAACATAGCCAAAGCGATGGGGCTTCGAGAGTACCTCCAGCGTTGGGCTTCCACAACCCGGAGTGGATTATCGAAGGCGCCCTCCGCTTCCTCCATGCGGTCTCGACATCGACCCCCGTGTACATGCACGTCGCCCTGACAATCCCCCACGGTCCGATAAACGCTGAATCGCTCGCCAAGCCCAACGGTCTGCTCATCACGCCTCTCGGACTGCTAGATCCCGCCCACGCGCCCTCCCACGTTCTCTCCCTCGACCGCTCCACCATCCTCAGCAGATCAGCCTGCGAAGGGGGGACGTGCATTGGGAAAAACGCTCGACTTGCGGAGGCGCTGTGGATTGACGAGTGCGTAGGCGCCTTGCTCGACGGCTTGGCCCAGCGAAATGCGAGCAGCACCTCGCTTGTGTTCCTCGCCTCCGATCACTCAGGAATGAGTCCAAGAACGGGGAAGGGGGGCGTCTATGACCGCGGCTCACGCACGATGGGCATCCTCTCGTGGCCATCGGTCGTTGCTCCTTCGCAGACGACACACGCGCTCGCAAGCAACATCGATCTGCTCCCCACCTTTGTGGAGGCGGCCATGGGCAGCCGACATTCGCAGCCGCAGCGCGCCGGTCGCATCGACGGGCTGAGCTTGTGGGGCCTTGCAACTGGGGAGGCAAGGACGGCGTGGCGAGCTGCGCTGCTCCTCGAGGTGGGGTACAAAAGGGCTGTGGTGACAAGGACGCACAAGTACATTGCCACGCGCTGCCCCATTTCGCTCCTCGACGAGACCTGCACCACCTCGCACTATGGTCGTACAGTCGCATGGGACGACCTCGAAGAGTTGCATCCGTCGCTGTACGATGCGGACCAGCTTTTTGATCTCATCTCGGATGCAGCTGAGCGACATAGTCTCCTGAGCAACTCGACGCGAGCTCGTGACGAGACCGATGAGTGTGTCAAAAGTCTGACGGTCGAAATGAAGCACCTGCTCCGCGGCTTCCTTCATGGACGCGAGCATCCATTTGGAGAGTTTCAGGGTGGCGTCCTGCAAGCACCGCCGGTGCCGGTGCCGCGGTCACTGCCTCCACCCTCGCCGCCGCCGCCGTCACCTCTCTCTCCTGGCCAGCTGGCCCCACCGAGCTCTCCGCCTCTGCCGCCGTCCCCGCCGCCGCCCGCCCCGCCGCCGCCCTCCCCGCCGCCGCCCTCCCCGCCGCCGCCCTCCCCG